AATAGTAACTATGGACCTATCTCTGCCAGTTTTGGAGAAAAAAGGGAAGCAAAATATGCAAAGTTTAGTTCATGGTGAATAGTCAGGCGGCTAAGTCCAAATTTTATCCAGAATTGTGCAAAAGATGATAAAAGCATGAAATTTTCCACGATGAATGACCATTGGGTGTTTGTCAACCCCCTGATCCAAAATAGACGAACACCCAATGAAAATTTTTTTGAAAATTTTGACCCATTTGACCTTGAAGTAAAGGTCAAAGGTCAAATCCAAGGGCATATTTGAAATCTACACATATGACTTTTGGAAAGCCGTCTGTAGAAATTTTTCCCATAACCCCTTCCGTAGGGTAGATAATTAGTATTTAATTTTGCCATTTTTGGACAAGGGTGCATTGCAATGAGTGCCACACCCAGACCCCAATACCGGCAAAGCCCAAATTTTACGTGGAACGAGTTGAGATTATAGGTGACCTAAATCCAAGAGATGAGTACGGGGGCCCTTACCGTCTAGGAGGAGAAGCGGTAACGGTAGCCGTCCGGAGGAGCGGGCGGAACCGGCGCACATAGAATTTTGAGTTTACTGTAGGTAAAAGAGACGAAATGTTAACAACTACTTAGTTTACCTTTTCAAGATACTTTTAGCTTGAAAATGGCATTATATTGTTATTTTTGCTGAATTTGAGCAACTTTATAAAACTCTGATGAATATGCATTATAGGGCAGTCATCACCTACTTTGATGGAATCAAATATTTCTAATAATATTTTTAACATCTTTTATTTTCAGACAATATAAAAATATGTACAATGCTTTACACCTCTAACAATTCAATTAGTGAGATAACATATCTAACATCAGAACATTCAACATAACTCATCATAAACATTTCCCTTCTGCAAGCATATGCCTCATTTTCAATTTCCATATTACTGTGATTACAGGACCAACCTGGAAGGGGGGGATTAAGACACCCCTGCACACCCCTTAAACAATCATAATATGCCCCAATAGCTTTAACACTGTCTTCACACCAAATGTCTGTCACTATGTCAGTGCTCAAAGACAATATAAGAAAACAGAATTCATTATTTTTTAAAGTCACATGTGAAGATTTTCAACCATGCATATGCACTATTATGATATGTCCTTGTTTATATTACTAGCAAGACCAAGAATAAAAAGGCCTAGTTTACAGCTAGTGAACTTGGTTTCAGATTATTGTTCAACATTCATTGTCTCCATTCTTTTTTTTTTTTTATGTCAGTGGAGAGTTGTCAAATCCTCTTCAATGCTGCCAGAAAGCACTCCAAAGGTCTCCTAATTATTGGGTAACCTGTAAAAAAGCAAATGAAAAGCTTCAATATTTCATGATGAAATAGTACAGCTAAAAACAGCAAAAAACCTTATGACCTTATTTACCGAGCTGAAAAATGTTAATTTTGAAAATATTGTACCTAAAACCCTTCACACTGGACAGCGTCCTTTCTGCTTCCTTTGAGCAACCATGAAACTGGTATTGCTGTGGTCATAGAAAGGAGGCACAAGCATCACTTTGATTGCAAAATGAATGCTCAATGATCAGCCAGTTGTCAGAACGTAATTTAAATTTCAAACGAGGCCGTACTACAGAACACAGAAAGGACTCCACCCAATGTAAAGGGGGCTTAAGAAAAGAGACAGAAAAACTGGCAAATGTACAGGCACCAGTCTTAGTAAATATAGCCACACAGCAAATATGAGGTAAAAACAAGGCAGCAAAGCTGTCAAATGTAGAGACACAATAATAAATAATGTTTATAACAGCACAGTCAATCAACACTAAAATTTAATGATGCACAATAGGTAACGTGGTCAATAAGATTACAGTTTCAGGATCATCAGAGTTCAAACATTATACAAAATCAATTTATGCAATATCACCATTTTTCACATATTGTGAAAAATGAGAAAAATGATAGTGCATAAAATAATTTTGTATAATGTTTAAAGGTATTAACACCAATATTATAGCTTATGTGGAAATACAGAAAATGTACAAAGCTTCGGGTCGGAGGGAGTTAAAAGTCACATCTTGAAGATGCCAGTGTTTGAAAAAAAATCAAAATAAAAAATAACAAAAAATATTCCAATAAAGCTGCTATTCAAACTTTTAATCTAGTTATATTAACACGATATGAATAACTCCAGTGAGTATGAGGATAATAAGGCACTGTTATTCACCTATAGCATTTATGTTCGCATTACACAAAATAATTTTTTCTTTTGTAAAATTATATGCAATATTAAGCAACCTTTACCTGCATAATTATCACTGATTCCTAATTATGTGACACTGTTAATTTTAGACTTTTACAAACTGTATCTGGCAGAGAGCTAAACATATGGGAGTTTACAGGGAAATCTCAACATACGTGTTTTATATAATCTCATTTAATGGCCAGAAAAATCAACCAATTAGACTTGTTTTCCAGCTAAAGCTGTATTTAAGTCCTGTTTCTTTCCTGTAATTTCAGTCCTGCTGAAACTGTAGGCCTGATTGCTGATGACCAGCCAAAACTTGTCAAGATGAAAAAAATTGAACTTCGGCAGTCCAAAGGACCAGCAAGATTTTTAAGTGTCACCATTTTGGATTTACAGGCATCTTTGACATACCTCACTAATAAAATTATATATAACCCACAGCGTTTTTTTCCCCTCCATTTACTTATCAGGCAAGATATAAAAAATGATAACATTCACAAAGTAAGCTAGCCAATCATAGTATCTCTCTCAAACGAATAGAGTGATTCCCTATGGGGATGCCCCCTGCTCCCCATATTACTTGCTCCAGCATTGTCTATTGCTCACGACACACAGATAGCTATCAAGAGAGTGGTCCATGCTGCCGAGCATATGTTAACATGGCAGGGCAAATGTTTCCTGATATACTTTTTCCTTTGAAAATAACGTTGGTAGCATAGAAATGAGGTCACCTGATTAACTCAGTAAATTTGATTTCTCAGTTATTGGTACTTCTGTTTATATTCAGCCTGCGGCATATCACTGTTTTACGTAAAGATGGTTTAAAAGTTTGGTCGCTTCTTCGAAAGCAATTCGTGGTGAAAGAACATAAGGCCACACTTTTTTATTTTTATGGATGACATCCTCTGGGGACCCCGAAATCGGTGTGAGAGAGTGAAAAAAAAAAACATTCCAAAAAAAAAATAAAAAAAATACTGCTTAAGTAAAGGAATGCTGTAAGTTTCTTGCTAAAAGGTAAAACAGTTTTCCACTTATCATCTTATTGGTGTTGGATACATGCTAAAAAAAAAAAAAAAAAAAAAAAAAAAAAAAAAAAAAGCGAAAAAAACAGCCTTACTTTTGACAAAATGGCCCAATCATGCTGTTTTTTAGCTTGACCCACGTTTTATGAATATTCATCAGTTCTGTAAGTTTCAAGCAAAAAGGTAAAATGGCTTTCCACTAATCGTGCTAACGGTGAAAGTGCATGGCGACGACGACAACAACAGACGCAGGAAACTGCTATATGTAGAGACACATCTGTGTTTGTACATAAAAGACTGCTGAGATGAGAAAAATATCAATAGAACAATTTTAAATTTCCAATTTGCACCATTTTGAGATTCTGAACATAGTGAGATTAAAACTGCACTGATGTGACTTTATTGCCATTTTTGACACTATTACACACTACAA